GTATGGCTTTATTCTTCTTCTTCTTCTTTTTCTCGTCAATTTGATTTGATGCTTATCTAATGACCATGAAATCAGTGCTTGAGTTCATCTGATTTTTTAATAGAGAGAAACTAAAACAGAGTCCAAGCTGCATTGCTTTCATTTATCTTTAACATTTTACATATATTTAACAATGTTAGCAGCTGAGCAAAAAAAACAAAAAAAATCAGTGTTATTCAGGATTCATATAACACTTCTTATGTGGATCAGGGAAGATTTTTGCTTGCTGCTGGGAGTGGTCGTGTTTTAGCCCGGTCATTTCACTCAGTCCTTCAAGTTGGCTCTGAGATGATTGAGCAAGCACTTGGTACTGGAACTGCCCAAATTCCTGAGACTGCACCTGAAATGACATGGAAGCGGATGGAATTATCTGTAATGTTGGAGCATGTGCAGGCTCATGTTGCACCAACTGATGTTGATCCTGGGGCTGGACTGCAGTGGCTTCCAAAAATTCGTAAAAGCTCTCCAAAAGTCAAGCGTACTGGTGCTCTTCTTGAAAGAGTATTTATGCCTTGTGATATGTACTTCCGATACACAAGACACAAAGGTGGGACTCCAGACCTGAAGGTAATGTGACATTTCCTCATGTATCTGTATCTTCGTTTTTTTAAGCAGTCCATATCCCATCTTTGAGTATGTCACTAAACACATGACAATATGAAAGAAGCACCCTTTAAAACCAGTGTACCAATGGATTGAATTCATAAGTTTCTGAAGTTAATTATCAAAAGAACAAGAAAATCTGAAGTTATTATCCTTCATGATAAATTATTTGAATGCTGGTTGATGTCATTAAATGTTATATTTAGTTTTAGACAAATTTGTTTTTCTTTCATTTATTGCTCTCCAGGTGAAGCCCCTGAAGGAGCTAACCTTCAACTCGCACAATATAACAGCATCAATGACATCTCGTCAGTTTCAAGTTATGCTGGATGTATTGACCAATCTCCTCTTTGCACGGCTTCCCAAGTGAGCACATGCAATTTTATTTTGGTCTTTGAAGTTACCTTTTCAGAATAATGTCACACTGCCATTAAATATCTTGTTTGGAAATTACACCTTTTAAGCTGCTTCATTATAAACTAGTTTCAGTATATGAATCTTGCTTGTGACCTATAATTATCTATTTATCACTAAATATTAGACACAAAAAACTTCACAAGTATATTTGTCATTCTTTTTTCCCTTTTCCATTAGAATACATATATAATCTATAGTATATAAATATATAGCAAAACCAATATCATTTTTTCTAACTAGGCTTTCAATCGCTAGGCACAATCTGTAATTAGGCCTGCTCAAGTGCCCATTCATCTGACATATATAGTACTCAACTGGCAAGTTAAATTTTTATACTTTCATGCTAAGGTATATGTGGTCCATAACTCAACTCAAAGTGTTTGATGTGTCATTTGTTATCAATTTCCATATCTTTTTCTTTACCAGCAATTTCCGTATCTTTTCATTTTAAACTGTGTAGAACTTTGATATTTGTCTAGAATAGCCAATTGGAATTCAACTTTACTTCCTCTTGATGAGTATTAGGCAGAAGCCTAATAGTAGTCTAGTCCACTCTTCAAGAAAGGATGATCTGAGTTATAGTTGCCTTCTTCCCCAACCTAGAAAAAGTGGATACTGCTATGTTTCTGAGCAAGGTTGATTTGTTAAAGGAGAAATAATGACCACCGGCAACAGATGAGCTGTCTTAACCTTATAAGGGATTTTTCTTGAACTAGTCAAATTTTTGTTTCATATTGATGTCAGTATTAACAAATAGATGTTATTATTAACAAATAACAAACATGTGCAAATATCCATGATATCCATTTTTCTGGAGTGAAACCCAATCTCCAAACATGCATTCCTGGGATTTAATTTTGTATTCTTACTCCACGTTTGATAAAATATCATATGCAATTCAGGCCTCGGAAAAGTAGTTTATCATTTCCTGGCGAAGATGATGAGGACATAGGAGAAGAGGCAGATGAGGTGGTTCCTGATGGTGTTGAGGAGGTTGAACTTGCAAAAATTGCCCTTGAACAGAAAGAGCAGGAGCGTAAGTTGCTACATAGAGACATTAAGAAATTGTCTGTCCATTGTGATTCTTCTTCAGACTTTAGTCCAGAAAAGGAGGCTGACTTGTGGATGATAACTTGTGGGAAATCTTTATTGGTAAGAAATGGACACTCTGAAAAACCTCTGCTTCAGATATTTTGTGATGCTAAATTTGGATCATTTTGCTCAGCATGTTCAAGTATGACCTTTGTTCCTTATTGGGAGAGTTTTGTCCTCTTTGAATTTATTTTATTTTATTATTATTTTTTGGGATCAGCCTCTCTTTGAATTTTCTTAAGTATCAGAGCATGTTTAGATATGCTTACAGGCCTATGTGCTTATAAATGAACTTATTTTACAAGCATCAGGCATTAGGATGTGGAACATGCAGCTGGCATAAGAATCTGTAGCTCTGGATTTTCTTTTTCCTGAAATGCTTTCAATTAAATTTCCTGTTCAAAATTTAAAGGTTGATTGTTCATGTTGTGGCCTTTGCATGCATTGTATTTGAAGATTGGCCTAATAATAAAGCATTTGCATCAGGTAGTAATTTTTCAGTACCCTATAGATTTTAAGTGACAAAATTTACACCTTTTTAGGTGCAAGGACTGAAGAAAGAGCTTATCAATGCTCAAAAAGCTAGAAAGGAAGCATCTGCATCTTTACGGGTAGCTCTGCAGAAAGCTGCTCATCTACGGCTGATGGAGAAGGAAAAGAACAAAAGTCCATCCTATGCCATGCGTATTTCTGTGCAAATTAACAAAGTTGTGTGGAGCATGCTTCAAGATGGTAAACCATTTGCTGAGACAGAGATAAATGATATGGTAAGTAAATTATGATGCAATCTTGGTTTCTCTTATGCTCATGCTGGCAAAGAATTTGCCCATATTAACGTATTTTACTTAATCCACAATAGAATTGTTACTTCTTTGCTCTATCCATTTTTACCAGAAAATTTGACTATGCCATTTCTTCAATGTTTTAGTATACTTTCAGTTACATTTGCCTCTTGTTCTGTTAGAATGTTTTTGAGACAATCTGTGGTTTTATTTCTCCTGCAGATTTATGATTTCGACCGCGATTACAAAGATGTTGGTGTTGCTCAGTTTACAACAAAGTATTGTGTTGTGAGAAACTGCATGCCTAATGCCAAGTCTGATACACTTTTGGCACCGTGGAATCCTCCCCCTGAATGGGGAAAGTAAGCACTTTTTTCTTACCCTATTGCATTCTGGTGATTTGAGGTAATTTTTAACTGTAGCTATTGGAACTTTGTCTTCTAGAAAAATATCCTTTATTATGGAAACTAGCATTTATTCTTTAACTGATCTCCTGCATCACCCTTTCTATTGTGGAAAACTTGCATTTATTCTTTGATTGATTTCCAATTTACACAATGAATTTTTCATCTTCATCTCACATAGTTTCAGGTGTTATCTAATCAGAAGCATGAGCCATAAAGGATCCCCAGATTCTCAAATTAAAAAAACTCCTTGTAATTTCTAATACTGGTGGTTCCATGTATTTTTAATCATGACATTTTGGCCTATAAAATTTGCCTTTCAGTGCTGATTTTGGAAATTCTGTTTATAATTCAATAAACTCCTTGAAATTTTGGGTAATTTTCTAAATATTCATCATATTGTATCATAGGAAATAATTTCTAGATCCTGTGTATTATGCCTAGGTTATTCAAATATATATTGATGCCATCATTAATTTGTGAATATGAATTTTGTTGCTAATAAATGTGCAATGAGATAATTGATGTAAGTTACATGGCAAGATGAATCCAGAGTCATTGAATATTTTAAATAGTATCTCACTTATGTTAAACAGATCCTGTACAATAATTTATGGATTAACATTTTGTTCATTCTTTACACTTTTTATGTGTTGTGGCCAGAAACCAATACATGAGAGGGTCCATCAACAGATGACTAGAATTAATTACATTTTAGTACTCTTTCTGCAGTCATATGCAAGTGGGAGCAGCCTAAAATGATAAAATTATTATGTGTTTACTCTGTGCTTTGCTGAGTTTGTAGCATGTACATCATACGCTAATTAACAATGAAAGCATTTGTTATTTTAGATACTCAATCTGAATTAGATACCTATGGTAAAATCTTGCCTGTTTCTAGAAATAGGTATCTCTAGTAGCTTTAAATTGTGATGAACAACCTGAGGCTTTTGTGAAAGATGGTTCTCTAGAAATTATTTGATTATGCAAACTGGTAGATATTATTTGGTTGATGCTTCAAATGTTTATCTACATTTTCATTTTGCAAATACCCTTGTGTGTGTGTGTGTGTGTGTGTGTGTGTAATATCACCGATTATATGCTTTAAAAAATGTTGTGTTACTCTTTAGAAATTATGATATCTGTTTTGGTCTTTTGTGGCTGCAGAAAAGTCATGCTTCGTGTAGATGCAAAGCAGGGTGCTCCAAAGGATGGCAACTCTACTCTTGAGCTTTTCCAGGTAATTAAGTTCCTCTTGTTTTTCACAAAAGGTAGAAATAGCACTGTTAGAGTTTATGTCCTGTCCCAATAAATAGGTAAAAAAAAATGTTAGGCACAAGCTTATGCTTCTATACTGCAGGTAGAGATATACCCCCTTAAGATTCATTTGACTGAAACAATGTACAGAATGATGTGGGAATATTTATTCCCAGAAGAAGAACAAGATTCGCTGCGAAGGCAGGTTAGTTAAGGGGTTCAGATCCTTGAATTTGTCAACTAATTTCTGGTGCAGTTGCTGATTATACATTGGGAGATGCAGGAAGTTTGGAAGGTTTCCACAACTGTTGGTGCCAGACGTGGTAAGAAAGGCTCAATTGATGCTTCTGCACCTACAAAAGAGTTTGAGGCATCATCCAAAACTGGTGCAGCTGCTTCATCCTCTTCCTCAGTTACCAGTCAGCATGCTATTGCTGAATCTGCCCAAGTGAGAATCCTAATGATTTTCTAGTTTTTTGTTGAGGTAAAATTAGTGTATTATGGTAACTAGATTCTGTTGGAAGGTATTGAATGCACAATTGCTTAGATCTTTATATGTTTATACTGGATATAAATAAACCTTATCTGAAACCTATGCAGGCTTTAAAGTCGCAAAACATGATTTCCAGCTCTGGCCCTGAGTTGAGAAGAACATCTTCATTTGACAGAACGTGGGAAGAGACTGTTGCAGAATCTATAGCTAATGAACTTGTCCTACAGGTTAATTCTTCAAACAAAAGTGGGTCACTAATTGAGCAACAAGAAGAATCCTCAAAAAATAAATTGAAAGATTCAAAACCTGTCAAGTCTGGTCGGCCATCTAACGAAGAGAAGAAGCTTGGGAAGTCAAATGAGGAGAAAAAGTCAGCTAGGCCGAGGAAAATGGTGGAGTTTCACAATATCAAGATAAGTCAGGTTGGCTCAGTTCATCTTAATGATTGTCTGTCATTCTGTATTGCTATCGTCTGGTAACACCTTCTGTATTTTTCTGCTGTAGGTTGAGCTATCAGTTACCTATGAAGGATCTAGATTTGTTGTGAATGATCTTAAGTTGCTGATGGATACATTTCACCATGTTGGGTTCACTGGTACTTGGAGGAGACTTTTCTCTCGAGTTAAGAAGCATATCATCTGGGGAGTCCTAAAATCTGTAACTGGAATGCAGGTAAGAATCTCCATGATGCAATTAAGTGGTCTAGACCAGCAAATTTCATTAGTAATGATTTTACCGACTAGTTCACTCATCATTGTCTTGTCTATTGGGGGAATTATGGTTTTTATATTCCAAAGCTTAGCAGTATAATGACCAGGATGATAGTAGTGAATAATGATATGTTAGGAACCATCATTATAGAGCAGTAACTGAGATTATTGCTGCTACTGACTGTAATTATGGTACTCAAGTGTCCTTAGAGACATGCGGAAATTTCATTTACTTTCTAAGATAAAATCATAGGGATCTTAAACCGGTTCTTTTAAATTGTTCTAATGCTGTTCTTTTATTTATTTGGTAGGGTAAGAAATTCAAAGACAAAGCAAATACTCAAAAGGAACCTAGTGCAACTGCTGTTCCTGATAGTGATCTTAATTTGAGTGACAATGATCAGTCAGGGAAGCCTGATCCGTATCCCATGATCTTTCTTAAACGTCCAAATGATGGGGCAGGCGATGGGTTTGTCACCTCCATCAGGGGCCTGTTCAATACTCAACGGCGCAAGGCAAAGGCATTTGTGCTGCGAACCATGAGGGGTGAGGAGAATGATTTCACTGGGGAATGGAGTGATAGTGATGCAGAGTTCTCTCCATTTACTCGGCAGCTTACCATAACAAAAGCTAGGAAGCTTATTAGACGGCACACAAAGAAGCTCCGCTCAAGAAAAGGTCAATTAGTTATTTTTTTCTATTTTTTTCTTTTTTTCCTTTTTTTCTTTCAATGCCTTCACTCTTATGTAGGTATTTAAGTATGATAGTTAGCTAGTTACCCTAATGCAACAAAAATTTCATCACCCCTTACAATTAAAAAATGAAAAATAACTAAACAAGGTGTTCTTTTAGGTGGGTTACGGATGCGGTACCACACACCTTCAGTAAGGGTCTGGCAGAAACTGCAGGATTAAGTTCTGACTGACTTGACGTCTTTGTTTTCAGGTTCATCTTCTCAACAGATTGATTCACTTCCATCTTCTCCAATGGTAATGGAGGGCACTCCATTTGAAAGTGATTCATCTAGTGGATCCTCACCTTATGAGGATTTTCATGAATAAAACCTGAGTTATCAGAATAACATTATTTGAAGGCCTCCAGCAGAGCACAATGTATGGGATATATACAGGCAAGGCACCCTGCAATTGGAAGACTGCTGCCTTTCTGGGAAGATAGACTGAAGGTGTTGCCAATCTTCCATTCTGAAGCTAGTGCCAGACACCGAGGATGAAGAAGATGAAGGTACCCTTGCTTTGTGATTTGGATATCAACTTACTGGTTGATGATACCTTAAATTCTGATTGATCTTTGACTACCTACCTGAATTCAATCATATTTGCCCCACGACCACATTTATCTATCTCGGTAGAGTTCTTCAAACGGTCAATCTGTAAATTTTGTAGGTAGAGTTATATATATATCTGACTCGAAATATAATACAGAGCTAACTGATTGCCTTAATTTTGTACATACATTCGAACAATAATGGAAGAGTCATGTTAAACCTAAATAAATGGATCGAGTAATTGTCCAGTGGTAAATATCTCACTGATTGCTCAAGACGGATGTAAACGAAATTGGATGGGATTGTTTTTGTTGTTTAGTGGTTTCCGTTGTGGAGCAAATTAACAGCTGTATGCAATTATGTATCCCTGTGCAAACAAAGTCTTGAGGAGCATGCCTATGCTTCTGGTTCTAAATGGTCTAATCATTAATGACATGGTTTGAGTTAAGTAGTTGAAGGTGACATAATTTGTCGTTTCTTATTTTTATCATGAGAGGAAAAAATCAAAATGTTTTGGAATTAAAAAGTTAAAATATTAAATAATAATTAAATGATAAATTTGATAAAATTGATACTCATATTATGCGTTGTATGTTTAATAACTATAATTAAATATTTTAATATTTTTAACGATAAAATATTTTAAGTTTTCCTCTTCTCTATCCTATATTATGAGAAGCTTGTTCTCTACCATTTTTTTAATTGAAAAGTATCATTCAGTTTTTTATTCATTACTAACAATATTTTTCTTGATCGAAGTGAAATAACTAAAAAAAGGAACATGTAGTAAAAAAGAAAATTATCAATTAAATTTTATTTTTTTATGTAAAATTTTCACTTTACAAACAAAAACTTTTTGTTAGGGTATTACCGTTGAACGGAGTCATCCATATCGACATTTTTTTTCCCTAAATTGATCCTTTACATAACAACAGGATATCATATCACAATCATGTCCTCAGCTCGTTCAAAGGGAAACAGCAAAACATCACACAAATAACAATCTAACAAAGTCTTGGGTTCTATTTGATTTGTCTAACAAAAACAGTTAATAGTTATAGCTATTAGCTAATACAGTTGATATCAATTTGAAATCAGCCCGTGGGTTGATGTTTCCATTTAACCTAACCAACTGTTTAAAGAAAAAAAGAGAAAAAGAAAAGAAAAGAAAAGAAAAGAAAAGAAAAAAAAAGGCTATAAGCTGGTAAAATCAACTAAACCGAACTAACCCTTTTGCAAGTATAAACACAATGCTATGAACGGGTAAAAATATTCGAGTCTTTATCCTAACAATTTGTACACAGATTCCAGCACTAATATCAGCAACACGATAATTCACAGTATCTAACGTCAGCTTGAAAGCAGAAGCATGTCTTTTGCAGTCACTAGCTGATTACTGTACTTAGAATTCAATTCTATGGTTGTTTACTACCTATGGCACAACTCCCATTCCGCTATGGTTGCTCCGTTACAAAGCACCAGTAACTTTCTGATCTGTATAGAGCACAGGGACATGAGAGAAACTAAATGGATATAGTTCATCTTGTATCCACACCTCCCTATGTTATTTGGAGCAGAGAAGGTTGCAACCTTCTAATCGAAGTTTGAAGGAATGTCAATATCTGTATCTGAAGGATTAGCGAGCTCAACCAGAGGTTCCTGCAGATCCCAACAGCAAGTACATCAGATATCATGTATCAGTCTTAAGTCTTAGTAAAATTCTCTTTTCTGAATAATATGGAAGGAAGCTATGGTAATTTACATTTCAAGTACACTAATACTTTAAAGGGGAGTACAACACCTAATGTTGCAGATGTAGAGGGGAGCAAATTAATGTCTGGGCAAGGACATTGCATCCTACTTGGAAGTTAGTTGTCAAGTTATACCTGTTCATCATCTTCAGAAGGATGAACAATTCCCAAGGGCAGGGTGTGTGTAAGATCCGCAGATCTGTGCAACCCCTGCACACAAGTAGGTCAAATTAGAGAGAATAATGATATATTAGTATTACCACAAATGCACAATCAATGAAAGAAAGAATATGATAGTCAAATGATAAACACTTGGTACGTAAATGCAGCATGACAACCACTACATAAATGCAGCATGACAACCACATATGCTTATACGTGGAGAGCAGAGGCATGGTAATTTCAGTGATTTAACCATGATGCTAGAACCGGACATACTTCTTCATCTGGGTTGACTAAAGGATTATTTGATCCTTCTGTAACACCCTTAGAAGGATTTCCAGAAGTTTCCTGCATACACAACCAGATCAAGTTAAAAGGAAGAAACAATTGAATGTAAGGAAAACTCTTAAGTCCTAACAAGTTAGAATAATAGGTACATGCTTATCTTGGTTGCTGGAGTAATCTCCATCCATTATTGAAGGCTTGACATCGTGTGGGGTTTCCTGCAAAGCATTCATACAATTAATTTACCCAATCTTTAAAAGAGTAACAATACTAGAATAAATTAAACCATGATGCCATACATAAGAATTTGTAACCCATATGAGAACTTGCCAATCCCAAAACATTGCATTAAAATACAATATATCAATACTAGCTGTTATAAACATCAAAGGAATGCTTCTTAAAGTGGAGCAATGAAATACTAGATGCCATTTTGCAGATCTCATGGGGATATGGATCTCTTCACCCCCATAAACAACTTAGCAATCTAGAAAATGGGACTTGAACCTAAAACTATTATTATTATTTTTTATTATTATGTGCATAATGTTGCTAAAACTTGAAAAGTATCTAACCCAATGTAAAATATCATGCAGACTTTTCACATTGGAACATTATGACAATACAAAATGTAGCCAAACTCAGATTGCCATGAGAAAACACATCCCCTCACACATTCACATGAAAAGAAAAACAGCAGTACCAGTCTACGCTAAAAAAGGGGAAGCAGTGATGATAGTGGAACATCAATAGAATATGAAGTGGACTTCCAAAATTGAAGAAAATTTAAATTCCAAAACCAAAATTTTGGCAGCTCTTGTAGCACATACAGACTCAGTTTGATCCAGAGAAAGATTCCTTCCTCCCTTACTGAGATCTCTTAGTGTTCCCTGTACATCCAACAAAAATGTTAAGGAAAACAATAAACACAGATGCAAGACAAAGATGTTTAATGAGGAACACAAACTAAAGGGGAGAGTGTTAAGATTGGCAGTAGTACAAAACCAAAAATACCATTTGTGCAACTAATTGTGCTCTTGAATGGACAAGAATGATACAGAAACTTTTTTCCTTCTCATCACAGACTTTGAGATCATACAGAGCACAAACAAAGTTCCAAAAGTAAATGAAGATGGATGGAGCAGTGTCTTTTGAATAACATGTTTGAGAATTTCCAAAAAATTGTAATTCATTATCAAATTTAGAAAAAATTTAACTTATTTAATCTTTTACAAAACTTTAGCTTTAGTAAAATGTTAAATTTTTCTCAAAATTCAAACCTAATCACCAAACTCTACATAACTTTAGTCTTTGAGAATGCCATTCGTTTTGAAATGGAGTAAAATATAAAGGAAAGCCTCTTGGAATGTATTGATTATCATATGGCACTTGCTCACTGCCTCAATTCCTCCCTAACTCTGCTATCCACCTGTCTATTTACATACACATATGCACCTGATTGTACCAATAAAAAGGAAAATAAGAATTCACCGAAAGCATGCAAAGCTACCCCGACTGTTATATAGAATGAATGGGACAGAATTACAAAATTTATGCATCCCATCAAGTGCACGATCAGAACCAGAATATACCTTATTTGCCCACATCAGCCCACAAGCATTACATAAAGTTCTTGGACCAGCTGGCCCGCGGCGCATTGCAGGAGTATTATTTTCACTAACACCACAATGTTGACACCTTCGAACACTTCCAAGGAGTTAAAAGAACTCATCAAAATTATTCATGATGGTTACCATTTCTGTATAACAAGTAATGTTTCTGATAGGAACTCACACACTTTCCACACGAGCAGTGCCATCTTCAATTCCACTCTGTGCAGAGTCCCAGTTTGAAACACCTGTTGTTTCTTTTAAGGATGCAAACTGCCCATTCTTACGATGCATTCTGCCAGAATAAAAGGAAAATTTGAATTATTCTGGGCAATAAATTTGAGCTCAACTATAATTTAACGGAGGATCAATAACTGTTTACCCAAATCTAGAACACTCTAATTCTCAAAAGATAGCATCTATTAAATCTTTTCACATAACACACCAGAGGTCAAAAGTTAACATTTTGGTTAAAAAAATAAACATACACCCCACTCAAACAACCGCCTCCCCCACAGAAATCTGCAGCCAGTGGCCCAAAAAGTAATAAATAACTGCCAAATGTTAAAACACCTGCAAATTTAAGCAGAAAAAATAACCAAATCTTACCTCTGTGCAACCTCCTTCCGTACAGTATATCTAATTTTCTTGTCAAAGCATCTCTCTTTCCTTTTCTCACGAAACCTAACCAAGGAGGCTATTCGTCTTGAAAGATTAGAGCGCTTGGGTGTGTCCCCCACAACCTATAGAAAGTGGCAGATAATAATAAGCACAACCACAAAAAGAAAAAGAAGTATGGTCAAATGCTCAGAACATAGTCAGCACCTTATTACTCGGATCAAAAGGTACTTCAATTGTGGGAACACCAGTGGGTATGTCACGACCTCCTAGTAGCAACAGCACAGCTTGCACCTGCCATTTACAGTCCAACAACAAGAGCCCTTATTTATTATAGGGAAATGACAAGAAATTCTAGATGAGGGAATCCATCCAAACAATAACTTTAGTTTAAAAGAGATGATTAATAACTAGAGCACTGGACAGGTGAAGAAAAAACAAAATAGAATAAGAGATTTAGAATTTAGGTGCAAATATCAAACTGGATATGGAGAGGTACATCATAAGTAGTGAAGCAAATAACCCATTTCTATACAATAAAAAGTACTGAAAATGTTATCATCAAAGAGGCATTTCTTCCTTCCATAATTCAGTTACAGGTATGCAATTGAATGCCTAAATCAACAGTTGCCACAACATAGATAACCATTTCAACGGCATACACAAAATGAAATTGCAATGCTCTGAGCTTGTATTCAGTCATTTCTAAAAGTGATCTTCCAGGAGAACTTGATAGACTCCTGAATTGAAGATACTGGGAAAGAGACAACAGGGGACTTTCAAATCTATCTACAGAAACAGTAGGAAAGAGACATAAATCAACAATCTTCATAATAGAAACACACATTACCGGAAGAAACATAAATATAACTAACCTTGAGCTCCAAAAGAACTACAAATTTAATCAACTAATAGCCCTAAACCATCCTGGATAAAAAAAAAAATTACAAAAATTCTTGAACTTAGTACACTAAAAAAAAAAAAAACATCTTTTAAAAGCAAAGAGCCAAGAAAAGTTTAATAAAGCCGAGAAAAATTCCAAAAAGAGTTTTAGAAAGGAAGGAAAAAATAAAAAATAAAAAGCAAAATAATTACCTTTTCGGGTGTAACAGCCGGGAATACATAAACCTCTCCTTCAAAAGAAAGAGTAAGCTCGCTAGTCCTCGACGATATAACCACACCTCCTCCAGCTCCACCACCGGTACCTCCTAGTCCAGGCTCCGCAACATTCACAGAGTTCATATTTCCATCCTCAACATCATCCATGGCATCGTCTTCATACTCGGCATCATCATCCTCGATCTGAAGAGGCCCTCGCCCATGCTCCTCAAAGGGACGAGCCTGCAGTGGCTGTGGATTCGCAGCCGCCATTCACCACCACCCAAACGCTTACCCGTCCACCAAAAATCGTAACTCCAAACTCTCAATCCTCACCTGTTTCATTGAAAAGACATGGTCCTTTGTGTCTTGGCAACTGAATTCCTTCGTAAACCCTAACCCTAAACAGAGCTTTCCCGAGCTTGAACAAAACGAAGCATCGAAAATGGAAATGGAAGAATTGGGAGGAAAAAAAAAATTAAAATTAAAATCCAATAAAAGATGAAAGGTCCAAAACTTTTCTTAAATAAAGCTAAAGATTTGCAGGGGCGCGAGCTTTGTTTCCTTGAAGAGACTCAAATTGGAAATTTTCATTTCTTTTTTCTTTTCTTTTATATATATATTTTTTGGAATAACCACATAGTTGACACCTCAACTTAGTTTCCTTAAACCTTTCAGTCCATAAGCTTATTTTATTACTATACTATTGAGAAAAAATGTTTATTAGCTTCTACTTGTAAAAAATTATGAAAAATTATATTTTTAAATAAATTTTTAT